TTATGAAGTTTAAACTATAACTAAGCTCATTTACCTATATATATATATTAGCTCGTACTGAAGATTAATAAAGTTTCACTTTGGTCCCTGAAAATTATATTTATCAACAATAACCCTGATTTCTCAAAAGTTTCAATAAAGCCTTTGTTTTTGTTTTTGTTTTTTTTTTTTTTTGGAGAAATCATTTGTAACAAATAATAAAATGCTGACCTTTTCCAACCATTTCATTCATTTTTTTTTCCAAATTTTTCTTTTTATTTTTCCCTCAATCTCATATATGTGATACCTTCACAAAAATTCTTGAAAGTAGAAAATACTAAGTTCTGCCATTAGTTGCTCTTAGCTATTTAACACAAAAGAGAGGGGTGGCTGGGTTCGTGTGGTCACTTTGAAGTTTTTGAAGCCTATGAATTTAGCATTGAGAAACTTGGTTGTGGTTGAATTAATTGATAAAACACCTAAGAATCCAATGGAATTGAATTAAGTGACGCTGCTGTTACTCTTTGACTGTCGAAATCAGGTAATAGTAGTAAACAATTACAGGCCCCACTTATCGTGTAAGGTTTAGATGAAAAAATTCAATCAATCAATCAATCAAGGACGCGTATGGGCACTGGACAAAGGAAGGGAGCCTGCGAAACTGCAAAGTCGCCCATTCACTCTCTCTTGCTTACTGTGCGTTAAAAGGTGAAGAAATCTCCAGTTAAAAAGGAAAATCTCTTTCTTTCTCTTGTTATTAAATGCTTCAGCCTCCATTGTTCTTTACCACTTCCTCTCTCTACAAAAGATTCCTGGTGTTGAAGTCAATAGTCACATTGTGCATGCCCTACTGTTTTGGATTCGTATAAATACTATGTCCCTTCTTCACATGTAATAAATGTGTAACATCCTTGGCATGGGCACTTATTTCAAGTGAAGTTACTCTTATTACCGTAATGCTACTCATATTTTCAAGAAAGAAGCATCCGAATGCAGAAGAAGCTTTGAAGATTGCTGCTACTCTCTTCCTCAAGAATATTGTTCTTCAATTGTTCACCTTCACAGAGGTACGTTTCCTTTACTTTTCTTTCCTTTTATCTTTTTCAAAGCCATAAGTTTTTGTCAAAATTACAATTTTTAAGATTTTTTTTTTTTTTTTTTTAATCCTAGTATCTCCCTTTCACTGTATTGTGTTGTGTCTTCTTCTCTCTCCTGTCCTCTTGTTTCATCTAAGGCATTGTTTGCTTCACATTTTGGAATTTTGAAGGACCCCCCTTTTTTGCTCTAACTCTGGGTTGGTTTTATACATAAGAGCCATAGTTATATAAAGTAATTTGAAGATTTGAACCGAACCTTGATTTGGATTTGGTTTTGGGCCTTTCCTTTTGAGGGAATTTCCATGCCCATAGACATTTTGGTCACTTACTGGTTAAGGTCACCGGTAACAGTGCAAGGAATCTAGCTTAAGTCATACATGGCAGTTGTCTTTTTTCTCTTCGACTTTTTGACTCCCAATCCAAAAAAGCTTGACATAATCGTCACTACTTTACTCTTCAAGCTCTATTGTATCCAAAATTCATTTAAAAGTTACAACTTTTTTTATTTTTCTCTCTTTCCTTCTTTTTGTTCTGTTCAAAAACCTTACCGTCCATTTTACTTTCTAGCTACCACTCTAAACACAGCAACTGAGGCTTTGTTTTGTTTCTTGTGAAATAAAAGGAAGAAGCAAAGAAGAAGAAAAAAAGGGTATCTGTGCTTTCTCTTCTCTTTTTGAATTTCAAAACTGTTTTAGATATTCCATTGTCAAAAGAGCTATTTCAATCTGCCTTGGTGTGCGGTCACCACGTAGTTGCCATTTGATGGTCAGTTTGGATGTTTAATGAAATACCTTGTTGCTAACATTGTACCAGTAGGTTAGAAATTTTCTTCTAGAAAAACCAGAAAAATCAATAGCTGTGTGGTGGCAATATCATGGGAAATAGACCACAAATTTTCCTGGTTAGTAACCAAGAAAAGGTCTCTCTAACTTGTTCTCTTCCGTTTGTTTCATGGGTGATGATGTAACATATTCAACCAATAGCAAGAGTCTGCATTCACAAGTGGATATGGTTAGGAAAAAAGAAAAAAACTGATATTTTCTCCCAGCTTGTACATTTGTATGACACCATTCTTGCCATGCTAGTGCCTATAGCCATCCAACTTTTCTAGGCGGTCTTTACAATGAATTAATCAGCATTTGTTTAAGAATTGCTTTTTTTACACTTGCATCTTCCATCTCCACAGGGTTTTTAGTTTTATTATTATTTTTCGATGCATACATAGTCTACAGTCTACAAATAGTAAAAGTCGGCATCTTCATAGTACTAATTGATTAACGAAAGTGGGTCATTAAGCCCACTAACATAATCACTTCTCTGGAGTACAAATGTTTCTGACTAAGTTGCAACAATGTATTTGCTGTTTTGTTGATGCAGGAGTAGGGCATTGTTTGAAGCCTTTTGGATTGTGTGCTTGAGGGCAGTTAATTTTGCATCCCAGCCAAAAGGAAAGTTGTTGTTTTATCCGCAGAGATTAAAAAAAAAAAAAAAAAAAGTTATAACAAGAACAAATGATGATGATGATGAGAAGAAGGCTCGCTTGCTGCACTAGGGACAGAGAAATTAGCCTCGACTTTGATGAACAGGAGAGTAAGTTCCTTTTTTTGGTTCTTTCTAATATTTTTAGTTGGCAGTATTCGTACTTACTAATTAGATCTCCCGTGATTGATGCACTTTAAGCTTAATTAGCTTCCAATATTGTTTGTTATGTACGTTCGCGGCATTACCTACTAAGCTACCACATGGAGTGAGATATTTGAAAATGAAATAATATGAATCAACAGGGCATAAGAGTTAAAGATCATGGTTCACGTTTTTGCTCAGCGAATCAGTCAATGAAGCTTTTTAATTTATTTCCTTTTAATGGTTATTTTATTTTTTTGTTTTGGGTATTTATTGCAGTAGAGGATGGTTGGTTAAAAATTTAAAATAAAGGTTTAGGGTTTGTATCTGAAAATGAGAGGGACCCATGAGGTAGCAGACCCCACTTGTCTTTTAAATTTGATAGATGGATGGCCTTCTACATGCATCGGTGGTGTTTCTATTTAATTTTGAGCAGAACATTTATGGTGCCTGCCTTAAGAGGAGAAGTAATGCTCTTGTCCCTCGGTTAGCAGCCGACAAACACGGTATAAAACATTTCAAAATTGAATTTTTTGACCATTCTTTGTTAGTACTATTTTTACTCTACTGTTGATTTGTTTGGTTTTAATTTCTTTGGCAAAAAAGAGAGAATATATGTACTACCAAGTCGATGGCATATCCCTTCATAATTTGTGGTTAAAGAGTGATTTTATTGGAAGGAAGTGGGAACAGTGCAAAACCACATGGGGGTTTATCCCATAATTTGAACTTTTTGGGTTTTTTTTTAACCTTTCTTGGGATGTCAAAGATGGTTTCAGAATATTGGTTTTAGATATTCTAAAATAAGTGAAGCTGAGATATCACTTTATGCCTCTATGGGACTGGGCTCTAAAAAAATAAATGTGATGCTGCTTCTTATTATTATTACTTTGATTGATACAAAGAGTGGAGTGGACCCTTAGTTTTTATGTGATTAGAACTGCCATCCTCACTGAATGAGACAATGAAGTAACTTGGTGGTGGACGCACCATTGTCCCTTTCTATTAGTCCATATAACTTTTTTTTCTTCAAAAAAATTGGCTTAATTTCTACTTGGATCTCTGCATCCGCATGGGATTCTTCTTCTTTTTTATTTTTTGGAAAAAAATAATAACTGTATGCTTGAATACATATACAAGTACGTACATTTATGTGTCTTATGTTAAATGGTATATTTTTGGAGCTGCTGTGAAGGGTGAACCCATACCATCCACCAATCCACCATATTTTGGCGTACAGTATGACAGATCGCTATCAAGAGCATGTCCTCTTATTCATGATTTTCTTGTGGAAAGAAAAGTAGTATGGATCTAGTGGTCCATTGGGTCTCGTTCAAATGATTTTCTGCGAAATTTCCTTTTGCTGTGGTCCATCTAATGACAACATATGAAGCTTCTGCTTTGAGATGATACATCTTAAGTCAGTATATTTTCTTTAAAAAAACTCATTCATCCTGCATAAGCTAAACATTGTCACCCTATGAGACCAAACCAGAAGTTCGATGTATTTGTTCTTTGTTTTCTCTTTCTTTTAGAGCGGCGTGCACAAGAGGTACATACGGATCATTTGTGCTTCTTTTCTTAATGGATCCTTCATACGTCAACATATTTATGATGGCAATTGTTATTGATGGACAATAAAGCCCAATCTTTATAATGCCTAAAGTAAATGCATTAACATATAATTCACTTGTGGTTCATTGATGAAATGGTCAACATTATCAAGCATCAAGTACGACCACCAAATCATGTAGCTGATGCATTTCTTATTTCATACGCACAATGTTCTGACACATGAGGCTGGTGGAAGCTGAACCCTTGACTAGTAGCTGAGGGAAGATTGAAAATTAGGGATGGTAACCAATAATAAAAGCACTTGCATCTGCATGTGCTGAAACCTATATTGTCAACAATAGAGACAAATTTGACAACTTACCTGCCACACTCGTATGCCTAGAGCCCAAGGTTTATTGCTACTAGATCTTTAGTGGTTGAGAGAGATATACATGATGCTACCATTTGATTTTTAGTATAGCCACTTGTTTGGTAGTGACTAGATTAAAAATTGAAATAGCTTGGCTGGACTAGTCGCAGTATCAGAATTTCATGTGGGTCTTCTGATAAGAGACCTGACTTTGGTTAAAGCCTGATTCGTGGAAGCCTTATTTGGATTCTACTATGTGTTGAAGAAATGAACAAGAAGGACCTTAAGATCAATATTGTCAACGGAATTTACTTACGCTAAAAATTCCAGGAATCATCTGTGTTGATTACATATTTGGCCGTGTAGAAAATCCCACGATGAGGACTGTATGTGTATACAGTAGTAAATACTCGCTTGCTTGTGGGAACTTGTACAATAAAGTTATGCTTTGTACCAAGGAACTCATATTTCAACAAGAGTTTATCTTGTTTGAATTTTCAGTTGTTGGGTGCATTATCAACACGCCCAAAACCAACTACCTTGTGCAATCCATGTTCCAAAGGTGTCGATCTTTAGTGCGCATTGCTTCAGCTCTATGTTTTTTTAGTTATCCATGCACTTTAATGGAATAACTATATTGTAAATTGGATTGCAGGGATAATGACATATAATGGCCTTGAGAGTTGCATTATAAACAACCAGTCTTATGAAAACGAAAGCGGGACAAGCAGAGGAGAGGGTTGTGTGAGCGACTCCTTTGATGATGATGGTTGTTCAAGCTGTTCTTCCAGCAAAGATGTTTTTGGATCATTTTCATCTAAATGGTTGACAATGAAGAGAGATGAACATGGTTTGGATGATTGGGAGCTCGCTGGAAGCCCTCAACACTTTTATGTGAAAGAGAAGCCGCATTACTCCATTCAATGTTCAGATGTGGAGACAATGAAAGAAAAATTTGCAAAGCTGTTATTGGGGGATGATATCACAGGAGGGCGTGATGGCCTCAGCACTGCATTGGCATTATCCAATGGTATAACAAACCTTGCAGGTATATTGTATCCCCATTTGTTCAACCATGATCTAGTTATTCATTTTATGATTTTTTCACATGCTTTTGTTTCTTTAGGACTAGTTAGTGTTTAAGCATGTTATCTCCCTCTGTTACAATTGTGATTGACTAATTTACTTTATTGGGAAATTAGGAGTTATATTTTCGTTGGGAAGGTATATATGGAGAAGTTGCAGAGCAAAATGTGTCAAATTTTGAATTCATACTGATTTTTCATTCATTGTAGCTCGTCAAATCAGTGAAAAAGAAAAAAAAAAATGCAATAGTGCTGTTTCATGTATACGTAAAGTGTGAGTGGATACAGTATTAAGTTTTTGCACCAAAATTCACTTGATGATGTGAGATGAAATTGATACATGTTTTATTGTTGGTGCTGCTGCTGCAGAATTAGATGCATGATGTGCAAGCATTCAAATCAGAGTCTGATTTAATGTTATTTTGTGGCATGAACAATATTTGGTTGAGCTTTATTGAATTTTGAATTTTTTCGAACTTTTCTATATTCTTGGATCATGTTATGTGCATCATTTCTTTTTTCATTAATTAACTCTTTAAATGCTTAAAATGTGTTGTAGCCACGGTCTTTGGGGAGCTGTGGAAATTGGAGCCATTGCCTGAAGAAAGAAAGACCAAATGGCGAAGAGAAATGGACTGGTTGCTCTCTCCTACAAACTACATGGTTGAGTTAGTTCCTGCTAAGCAAAATTGCACCAATGGTCGGACACTAGAGGTATTCTTTGTTGTTTTTGTTGAACTTTGCAGAAGAATAAAACAATATGTTTTCTATTATGTGGTGAGATTTATAATTATCCCTTGATATTGAAGCAGATAATGACACCAAAAGCCCGTGCAGACATCCACGTTAATCTTCCAGCACTTCAGAAGTTGGACTCTATGCTTATTGTAGGCGATCTCTTCCTTCCTAAAATTGATATTCGTTTGCATGGTGATTGTTCATGCTAAGTGCATTGAATTTTCAAATTTTGACAGGAGACACTGGATTCAATGGTGAGTACTGAATTTTGGTACTCAGAAGTAGGCAGCCGGGCAGAAGGAAGAACCAAGAGCGCAAAGCAGAGCAAGAGATGGTGGCTCCCATTGCCGCAAGTTCCGACAACTGGGCTTTCTGACTCGGGAAGAAAGAAACTGCTCAATCAGAGTAAGGTGGTCTATCAAGTATTCAAGGCTGCCAAATCCATCAATGAAACTATTTTGCTTGACATGCCCGTGCCAACTATTATCAAGGATGCACTACAAAAGGTAAGATTGGTTTCTCGATTTCATAAGAAGTGAAATTTAAGCTTGAAGAAACCTACAGTTGGTGGAAAATAAAAATAGCTCCTACCCAAATTTAATTTCTGCTCATTTTAGCAGAAGAAAACCAGTCATTGTCACTAAATCTTGGATTGCCTGTCATGCAACTTATCCAGGCTTTTGTTTTTGTTTTTTATGGTTTTTTTTTTTTTTTTTTTTTTTTTTTTTTTTTTTTACCACACCATGAATGGCTTAGAAACATGAAGTAAAAGGAAGCAAGAATATAGCAATATGGGAATTCTGTTTTGAGATAGTCAACCTTTGACACATACCTTGTTCGGGCATGGTTCGGGTTTTCCACTGTGACTATGAATTGGACAATACGATGGCAAATGAGAGAAGTTGCAGATAGTTGTTTTTGAATGCTTCCATCCTTGTTGCATTTGCTATAACTTCTGTTGTCCTTCTTACAGTCGGGAAAGGCAAACCTTGGTGAGGAACTGTACAAGTTGTTGACTGCAGAGTCAAACACAGCTGAGGAAATGCTTAATTCTCTTGATCTAAAATCAGAACACAGTGCTCTTGAGGCTATTAACAAGTTGGAAGCTGCCATATTTGCATGGAAAGAGAGAATTACTGCCCAATTCAGTAGTAAATCTCCTGTTCGAACGTCATGGTCATTTGTTAAGGACCCAATGTCAGAGTTTGACAGGTTGGAGTCACTGTTGGAGAGAGCAGAATCCCTTGTACAGCAGATAAAGAGCAGATATCCAATCCTTCCTCTGACATTTCTTGATTCTACAAAAATCCAATACGGGAAGGTGAGCCACATTTTAGACTTTTGATCGGAAAATTCACTGTTTGGCTAAAAAAAAAAATGTGTATGATTGTTGTAGCTATTTCTGCAGGACGTGGGACATGCAATCTTGGAAGCATATTCGCGGGTTCTTGGAAACTTGGCATTCAGCATTCTGTCTAGGATAGCAGACATTATGCATGAAGAGTCACTGACCAATCCCAGCTCTCCTGCGGCCATATGTTGCTTTCCAGGAATAAATTCATTAGGGTACGTGGAGACTCCAGTTCATCTCCGTCATTCGCTCACCGATCAGATGAGTAAGGTGGATGGAAAGTACCGAAATTCCAATGCTACTCATATTTCTGATCAGGAACTCTCTTGTGGCGAAGCCAGAACAAGCTCGGTGATCGCAACACCAAGTCGAAGCCGAGTATGGTGTATTGGTGGAGATGCTTGTAGAAGTCTGTCCGCTACAAATTCTCCATAAAAAGGAACAAAAAGAAGCAGTGGTATTTAAGTGCAGGTTTTTGTAAATGGTGTTACTAGCTATATTGTTCACTAAGGTATGGTTGATCCACCCTCATGTATTAAAATAAAATAATCAAAGGAAATCGATATTGGTCGGGCTGATAGAATGTACTTTTGGCCAATGTGAAGCGATATGAAAAAAAACTACGGCAAAAACTATTATACGGATATGATTATATCAATTTTATTAGTGTCTAGCTAAATTTTGATCAATCTTAGTTACTTAATCCTATCAACCCTATTAGGGTTCTTCGACTTTTCTCGGTTTTTATTTATTTATTTGTTTAAAGTTTACAGCAAAGAATCGCAAATCATAAGTTCCGATCTTTTTTCTTTTTCTTTTTTCCTTCAAAGATAAAAACAAAAAAAATCCGTTGACAAGTCAAATTTGTTAGTCATCGATTTCATGGGTCAGGTCAGGCCAGGCCTGATTCCGATCTCAAAATTATACCCAAGCTGGGCCTCGGACATAAAAGCTCAGCTTTTTTTTTTTTTTCTATAAATTTTTTGATATCAAGAAAACTATCTTTAAAGAACAATGCAATTTCTCCAATAATGTTTATTCTTGATGACTTTTCTAAGAAATCCTACATTTCATGACGGGTATCTCAAGATTGGTATTATTTGAGAAATTGATCATCTCGAAAAAAAAAAAATTAAGCATGGGGAGAATTATATTCTTTCTTCTCGTAAAAACATAACACCTAAAATAATTTACTAATATCGTGTTTTTATGAGAGGAAAGAATATGCAAATATCATGTTTTCATGAGGGAAAAGACATAATTTTTTATATACTAAATAATTTCTTTATATCAACTTATTTATTTTTTTAAAAAATATCTTCATTTATTAATAAGAAAATAAAATAATAAGAACAATAAGAGAACAAATTCTAAACATGTAATAAAATGTTTTTTTTTAAAATAAAACCTAAAATACTGAAAGAGAATATTAAAAACCGAGCCTTCAAAACAAGATCCTTATGGTTAAGCCCAAGCCCTTTCAAAAAATGTTTGGGCTGCAACCGACTAATGCTGCACTAGAGAGCTATTATTAGTCCTTTTATGAGTCTAATTTGAATGGTAGCACCGTCAGCCGACCTCCAAAGAGCCGCCTGCTCCCCTTTCACCAGCTAACATAACATCCGCCGTCTCTCCAAACATGGGGCTCCCAAAATTCACACGGCCCAAAACACCGGCGACTAATTCACCAAGTCCTTACCTTTACGTAGCCAACTGTGGACCAGCCGTTGGACTTTCCTATGACACGATTGCTTCAGTATTTAGCAAATTTGGAGAAGTGAAAGGAGTATACGCAGCAGATGAAAGCGGAACACGTGTAGTTGTTTGCTATTTTGAAGTCACGTCAGCCCAACAAGCTCTCACTGGATTGAATGAGAAATCTTGTCCTGATCTTGGTGGCAGGTCTTTGCATATTCGGTATTCAGTTATTCAACCAAATTGTGAGGCTGAAAGTCTGGTTAATGAACACATTCCGGTTTCATTACTGGCTTCGGAGGTTAATATTCCTGGGCTTTTTTTGGTTCATGATTTCGTCAGTCCTCAGGAAGAAAAGGTTAGCAATGTTTCTGCTTTTTAGCTTTTCGGGCGGGCGTGGATGACCGTCTGAAGCAAAATTCGTAATCTTTTTGAGTGTTTGCTTTTTTTTTTTTTTTTGAGCTTGGTGTATAATTTATGTTTTTCAGGAGTTATTGGCAGCTGTTGATGAAAGGGCTTGGATAAGTCTATCTAAAAGAAGGGTGCAGCATTATGGATATGAATTTTGTTATGGAGTAAGTATACAATGCTGAATTTGATCAGACCCATTTTTTTTTTAAGTCGCCTACTCTTGATGTCTTCTTGACAGCAGAATTGGCTAATTTGCAATGCTTGAGTATAGCTGTCATATAAGCTGTGAAGACATCTACAAGATGAACTTGAGGTCTTCGAACTTTGTTGATATATGTAGCATGTTGTTTGGTTTGATTTCTAAAGGTGAGAACATTTGTGAATATGATCTGCTAACTTAGCACTATTGCTTTTGGGAGCCTCTCAGTAACAACGTTGTATCGCCAGAGCAGAATTTCGTAATATTTAAGTTTCTCAGTTTTGCCATCAAAGCACATCTGCCTCAAAAAAAAAAGTTCCTTTGTGTTCTTCTATGGTCCAAACAACTGTAACAGACTTAAGATGTATCAGTGTTTGCTAATATGAATCGGAGATTCTTGAATAGTTCCTTATTCTTTTTTCATGTGAATTGTTATATTAGCAAGATGTGATTAGTACATTTGAATACTAAGGACCTTGAAAAATTCTGGGATGTTATGTCTTGTCGATCTCTTAGACATGATTCAGTTTTGTATCATCTGTTAGGTTAAGAAATTTGCTGCCTAAATGTGAGAGTGCTAAAAACTCATTAAATCTTTTCCTGTTCTGGGACAGACAAGGAATGTTGATACAAAACTGCATTTGGGCCAACTTCCATCATTTGTTTCTCCAATACTTGAAAGGATTTCATTGTTTCCAGGTCTTGGCAGTGCTACAAGCATAGTCTTGGACCAACTCACAGTATGTGCTACTTTTCCTACCATCTATTTATTTTAGTTGTGATCCTGTGTAATCTAATGTCTTTAGTCCTGCTATGTTATAACATCTTTTGTAATAGCGAGACTAACTATCATATGAAAATTAAACTAAATGCAGGGTAGTATGTATGGTGTGCCTTGGGCACTAGCAAATTTTTAATTAATGCTTAGTTTAATTATTTATTAATTTTTGATAATCAGTGATAATGTTACAGGTCAATGAGTACCCACCTGGAGTGGGCTTGTCTCCACACATAGACACCCATTCTGCATTTGAGGGATTAATTTTTAGCCTTTCGTTAGCAGGGCCTTGCATCATGGAGTTCAGGAGATATTTGGATGGTTCATGGGTTCCTGATGGTGTCTCTAGTGATAATAAAAAGGGAGAAAATGCTGAAAACTGCTCAAATCTAGTAAGGAAGTCTATCTATCTTCCCCCTCGGTCCATTCTTCTGTTATCTGGGGAAGCACGCTATGCTTGGCAACATTACATTCCACACCATAAGGTAAATCATGTCGATCATGGATGAAAATTAGCTTGGTGTGTGCAATTTGCTCCTTATGAAATTCACCATTTCCAATGAATTAGGGATTAATGCTATATCCACCAATGTTAACAATTGTCATCTATGGCAATGTCCTGGTTTACACAGCGAAAGAAAGGAGATGGTTCAAATTATCATATATTTTCATATTTGTGGTCCAAATGGCTGTACAATTTTGTTATGTATAGCAGCGTCCTTCCTCTGCAACTTTCTTTGGAGCTAGAATATAGTGTCTTTATTTCATCCAAATAGAATTTTCTATCTCCTAGCCCCCGTCCTATGTGCTAAAGCATTGAATTTCCTCATCCTTAAATACAAGGTTAATTAATACTTATCTTGCAGATTGACATGGTGAATGAAAGTGTGATCAGAAGGGGTGCAAGGAGGGTATCATTTACATTTCGTAAGGTGTGTGACTTTATATTTTCTCCTTGTTCAACGTTTTTACTGCATTCACTTTCAATAAATATGGTTTTCTGATATGCATGCAATAAATAACTTTACATACCTTTGACTGAAATAGTCACACAGTTCATGTTTAGAGATTCCAAAGCCCACTATCTCATTTTAGCTATGACTATCATGTATACATTGTTTAAATACTTGCTGCTCTAAATGGTTGCTTCTATAATTGAAGCTCCAAATGATGGAACAAAATACAGTCACTACTTTTATCCATTTGGCAATATGGTTTTGTAACAGTATGTTGGCCCAGATGATTGAGGAATGCTTCATTGTTGGTGTTGACAAAAACAAGGGTGGAGCCACTAAAAACAAAAGGTTCAAAAAAAAAAAAAACTCAATCTAACTTAGCTTTCTCATATTGAGCATTCAGAGATCATTTTTTTCAAGCGCACTGTACATAGCTTGCCTAAGTATTCAGGACTACTAGCTTACGGTGATTGCTAATGTTCACATTCTTAAGCCAGCAGCAACTTGCAAGTTTTAGCTGGTTATGAAAAAACTCTGCATTTGTAGTCAAATAAGTCTTCGATGTTATTAGTAGAAACTTGCTGTATGGTTTTGTTTTGCAGCTAGCTTCAAGGTAGTACCATATTTCTTGGCTTTATGGTTAGATCTTGATGCAAGAGCTTTTTCCACGTCTGGAGAATGGTGTTGGAGCTTTCTTTAAAATTAAGTTTATTTTGTTAAAGAAATTATGTTCATTTACTTAGGTAAGAGTCATTGATTAGCATATGACTTTTTGAAATATTTTCTTGGAGGTTAAGCTGTCGTTACTTGGTGACCTAGGAGTTGTCTTTACAAGACTAGTGAATAGTGTACAAGCAAACCTTTGTTTATATTTAAAGAAACCCTTTTGAACCTTAAACCTTACTATCTTGTTCTAACCTCAATTTCTTCAAGTTCTAGCCATACTTATTGCTGTCTTTTGCTGTTTGACATTGTTTTCTCTTACCACTGGGTCAACTAGTAAAGACAACTCTTGGTCACTAAGTCAAGACAACTGTTGTAAACCATTCAAAAAGTCACATGCTAATCACATGACTGCTACCTTATTTAATAAACATAATTTCCGAACTAAAATCAAACTAATTTTTTTCATTTTAAAGAAAGCTTCTGCTCAGATCTTTTCCTCAACAGCTAGCTCTAGAGCTTGTATTCAAATTACTTAACCAATAGTCAATTTTTGACTATCAATTCTCCCTCTTAACAACTGTTATCTTTCAAAATCCCACCAAGCAAAACTCTGCAACTTGCTTCAGTTAAGTCTTTTATTGAAATGACATACTTGACATACTGCACATGAAAGGTGAGATTGTATTGGCCTAGGTGATGCTGACCATGCTGGTAATCATGATATTCAAAGATCAACTAAGGATATGTGTTAACCATAGTTCAGGAGCGGGTAGGAAGAGACAACCAACAGTTTGTTATGCAGCAATGCCATAGAAAGTAAATGTTTAATGCAACGTTTATATGATCCTCATCAACCTGTTGGTTATAAAATCCTTCAAATAGCAACAATCAGTCAACTATTTGTTTGGCTGAAAATCTTACATTTCTTGCAAAAGCAAAGGATGTGGAAGATCATAATCGCTTTTTGAGTGGGAAGGTATACCAAGGACAGTTAGATCTACTTTAGATTGGCAGAAAGAACCAAGTGGCTGATAAATTCACTAAATGATTCAATAAGAAACAAGCTTGCAGAGTTTGGATCATGGCTTGGAATGACAGTAAGAAAGTTGTTGTTTAGAGGGAGTGTTGAGAATCAAGAACAAACTCTTGGTTGTAGAACCAACATGAAAGCTAGCTAGCGTATCATACAATATCTAATGTGAATCCAAGGTCTGGTCAATGATAGTAAGAGTTCATTTAAAATTATATATACTGACCAACCTTGTCATTATGTAGCAGTTCTTCAAAACTAGTTGCTCCCAGCCATAAGGGAAGTCCTCTCCACCGGTATTAAACACTTCTTTTGATTAAGTGTACAACTCATTGATGTATAGCTGTATACCTTGTAACTGACCTAGAGAATGAGCTGTGTGTGTAACAGTCTGTGTAGTACTATAAATAGGATACCTGGTCATTTGTATTATGTCATATGTGCTAAAAATATGAGTATTGTACAAGTATATTCTCCAAAGATACAAGCGGTACATTTACAAGGGCGAACATTGTGGGTTTTGAGTTGAGAGAATGTTGAATTTGAGGAAACCTTTCTGTGAGTCACAGGCAGCATTTTTCTGAGAAAAATTTACTCGTTTCTTGGTTCTGAGAGGCTCTTTTGTTGTGTTTAAATATAAAATATGTATGCTTGTTTTTGGAGGCCCCATCCTTGTATTTCTCAACAGTTGGTTCCTTAATAAATGTGTTGTATCTGTGTGTGTGTGTGTGTGCGCGTGATGTAAATAACATGATAAAAAAAAAATGCCATCGGAAATACCTGGAAGGAATATTGAACAAAATGTTGCTTCGGGATAGACAAAATTGATGTTTGATTGTTCAATTTGTTCTTGTACTCAAGACTTGCAATTCAATTTCTTACAATTTCCATCGATCAAGGACTGAATTATGGATATTTCTTGTAACTCATAAGCTTTGTGGAAAGAATTCAACTTGCCAGCAAATTGGTTTTATAACTCATTTTATTAGAGAAACAGATTGGATTCCTTTGTCCATTACAAACAAATTCAATATGTTTTGACGATTTTTGCATAGTATAGTGTGATCTCTGTGTAATCAGTATATGTTTGTTTGGACTGATTAGCTTTGACCCTGCAGGTACTAAGTGGTCCTTGCCAGTGTGGATTTCCACAGTACTGTGATTCTCAAAGGTAGGAGAAGCTGTTGGGTAGCATTTGAGGACTCGACTGAAATTTTACTTTCCAAATTAAGATTGATTCAGAAAGATTCAATAGGCGACAATAGACTTGGACGAATACAATTATGAGGTGGACCGAATCTTATGGTCTTCAAATAGATGATCCCCACTACTAAGTATGTGAGGGTTGCCTATTTTGCTAGGATTGATATAAAAATGAAGCTGTTAATGAAATGGACCTCGGAATTTCCCTTAAGAGGATCGGTGTCTCCCTGGTCTTCAATCCAGGCAGCAGCTCTATCCTGGCCGCAGCATTGACAAGTTTCTGAAATGTACTACACCCGTTAGGTTACAAGCTCAATCATGAATAAATGATTATGATGTCGTTCGTTGGTAAATTCTTAATTTTTTTTCATAACCTTCATCATCTGTCTTTCTTTTCTTTTCTTTTTTTTTTTTTCGAATTTGTGTAAACAAAAACAAAAACACGAATAATCAAACTTTTTTCTGATAGCTCCAATTGGCAATAGCCAAGTTGGAAAGGAAAAGAAGCATGGGCAGCTGGTGAAGCTACTGTCATAACAAAAAGAAATAGAACACCCTGATCCGTCCAAAAGAAAGCTAATAGCACCGCAGGCTGATCTCAAGACTAGAGAATGCCATCACCGGCTAAATCGTAGGATTGAAAGTTAATTCTTTTCCAGAAAAATTAAAACCCATCCTCCATGGAATCAAAAAGAGAGGGAAAGCAGCAGAAATTCAACTTGATGGTCCACACAAGATTTGGGCGCAACAAAACCAACAAGAACCAAGACCCCAAGGAAGAAATAGCTGGAAATGCAGGACAACATTATGGATCACGTTTTATTTTTTAACAAACATTCTGTGTCACTTGCAAACCACCTCAGAGCATAGATTTAATGGTTATATATATGCTTCTTGTCGCCTGTAACATGCATGGGCCCTTCCCGTGTCATTTTCGCCATTACCTTTTGATACCTCTCCATGGCTTGCAATGGCAACGACATATGCATCAGAATCCCATCCTCTCCTCGGCTATTTTTGAACCTCACACGAAAATTCGTATTAGAAGCCGCTTTAGCTATTGAAGCATACACTGATTTTCCCCACCTAATATCAGTCTCTCTAAATGGGATGTGCAATGAAGCATAGTTTTAAATACTGATCTCGGTTTAAAAAATGGTTGAGCCCACGATCATGGATGATGGTTTATCGTGGTCGTAAAATAATGATCGTGACAGCGATATCGTGAATACATTAACAACTAATAATAAATTTATTTTAATCATAATAATAAATAATGATATCTCTAATAGTTTGATAATATATAACAATCATTAAATTTATTACAAAAAATAATTAATAACACTTCTAATAGATTAATATCACATGAAAAATAATAAAATACATTATAATTTCAATATACACATTACAAAATATTCATTTCCAAAAAGATCAATGTGGAGGATCACAATAATAATAATTATTTTGTTGTTGATGTTGTGATCCTGGTCTATCAAAATTACAACCATAATTATGTTGTCCTTCCAAATCCAATTGTTTAAATAATGAAGCAGAAATGGATTGTTCAATTTCCCGAGGATATTATGGATTTAAAATTGGCTAATCCGATAAAGTACCATATGAATTATAAGATACATAACCATATATTTATGGACCTTGTGGGTGGTAGTATTGTCCTTGACCATAATTGAAGTTAGAAGTCGAACTATCTTTGGAAGAGACGAGTGGTTCCTTGATCATGTAGTATGGTATCGCTAGATTGTTGTTGTTCTACTATTGATGCTTTATTTCTAGCATTGAATCTAAGTGCGGTAGGACCATACAACCCATGCCTATATAGAACCGAATTGATGCTCGCTATCAAAAGCTATTCCCTTTCCATGGCCTCCATCGTTGCTATCTGCTATTATTACTATTATGAGAAGCTCCTAGATCACTAGGCTCTTCATCTTGATCATCATCATCACCATTATCACTATTATGCAGATTAGTTTGATTATTAGAATTGTTTTGATCGTTTTCTTCATCACCATTGTCATCATTGTTGTCATCATTGCTATCATCATCATACACATGCAACCAATTCATATTTTGTCCATCGAGGACTTGTTGTTCATTTTTCTCTAACCAAGCGGACGATGGATCATCTTCATAAAACATACAATCCAAATTAATTAGATTAAAACTTTCTTCCAATTCTTTCGACTCTTCCGCAATATATTTCTTAACCTCAACTTCACGTTGTAATGAAGATAAACAAGATGTGTAATTTTTCATACTTCAACTTGTTTCTTATCTTCGTATGCATTAAGTTAAAAGTGCTCCAATTTCTCTCACAATTTGAAGCGGAAGTTGTTTAACTCAAAAGCTGCATTACAATCTTTTTAAGCGCTAGAGCATCATTTCCATAACTATTCCATCACTCGGCTACATTGAACAAATAAATTTTCATAAATTAAAAAAAAAATAACACCAATAATATTTATAGTATGAACTTTTATAAATTAATAAAGTACTTGGATTTGTTGAATACACGACCTTCTAAGCTATGGTTAAGCCAAATGTTTGTTGTTTCAAACTATACAATTCCAACTCGCATATTTAAATTAAAAATATTTTAATAATATTATGCATTAATATACATCACATGATATTAAATATTTTTAGCATTTTATGTTATCACAATTCACAAGATTATGTCACTTACTTCATTGATGGCTTTGATTTGCTTATCAATGTCGAGTTATAATCTCTTAATTGCATTTCTAACACCTTACATGATTTTTTAATCTTGATAAATTGGATTTGCTAGGAGTACATAACGATATTGGGGATTCAAAAAAATAACCAACTTAAAAAAAAAGAGTAAATAACATTACTTCTAAATGATATTTAAGTATAAATAATAATTAAAGAAATTTTTAGATTGTTATTATTAATTTATGTAAATTTATATACTTACCAACGGCATGTAAGTTTGCATGTAATTGAAATTCCCATCATTTATCAACTATAATACCATGTTTTTGAATATCAGCAACTTGCTTGAATTTTTAAGTGTGTTCTTTGCGAGTGCTTCGTAGATAAACTCCATAGTCGACTTGTCATCACCATCCATAAATTTTAAGACCTTTACAATTGGCTCCTCAATGGCTTTCACTTCACTTGTCTTCTTCCGAATCTTATTACTTGTGGATCTTCTTGCAGCACGAACATGTGAACATCAATAGCAAGTTGATCCGTCATGCTCCATGTATAGAATTGTTCCAAGCTTTCGACTTTCACGTCTTCTTGAGTGCATTCTTAAACTTAACAATACTTTCCAAAGCAACAAAATTGATGGTAAATCTAGTGATACTAGGCCGAAGTAAGTCACACCCATTAATAAATTTTTTCATATAATTAACTACCCAATTATAATTGTAAATAAATTAGGTAAGTTTTTTTTTTTTGCCTTCTCAAGCACCTATTTGACCTTAGATTTTTTTTTCCAATGTTTTCTAAAGTTAGATCCAAACAATGAGTAGAACAAGCCGACCAATATAAATAAGGATAAACCCGCATTGACTTTTTTCTTGTAGCTTTCATAGCAGACTTCATTATCGATCACTATTTGAACCACTATATGTTCACCAACTTCATTCACCACTTTCTTCATAAACCCAAAATAATATTCAGCATCCTTTGTTAGTACATTTGATGCATCAATTAATTTGATGAACACTCGTGTTTCGATTTGAATAAACCGGAAAATTGATGATGTGCATTTTAGTCGGTTCGGACCATCCATCACACATGATTGTGACACCTCTCTCATTCTAGATATTCTCATAATCTTTGATGTACTTCTTCATATTTGTCATCTCTTTTATCAAATACACCTCCGAAAGATCATAAGCACTAGGAGGTGGAATTTTGAAACTAACTTCAACTCGTATTTTTAAGCATTGTTAAAAACCAAGGAGATTCCACAACATTGAATGGGATTCTCTCATGAACTAAAAAATATCCAATTGATCTTCTTAATGTTTCTTTCTCAATTTTATATAACCGAGAACTTATTGACTTTTGTTTCTTTCCTTTTGCAATCTTTTGCAAAACCATTTCATCTTCTTGCAACTTTTTCAATCATTCCCTTGAAGTTGGTTATGAAGGAATTGATGGAACACCATTATGTCGTCTTTTTGGACCAGTTCTTTCATGCAAACTTTGTGAACGACGCATGATAGGAGCTTATTGGTGTTGTCCTCTTCTAGAACCGGAACTAGTATCCTCTTCATAAAAATCTCCTCTGCTTGCTCTATAATTGTCCCTCTCATGTTGCATTATATTCTCTTGTCTTGCATAAGACATGAGCTCTTCATCTTTATTATCCCCAACACCTTTTGTTCTCGGATAAGAGAATCCATAATCTCATCCTAAGGTTGACTTTGTCCGATGACTTTATCTTGTTTCGTGGCTTTGTAATCATTTAAGATTTCCATCATATCTTTTCTAACATCATTGGAAACACTTAAGCAACTAGCAACATTTTCATTTTTTATGAGCTATATGCTCTTTGATACTAGTGATTCCTCCTTTAACCAACTTTCCACAAGTACTTGCATTGCAGACTTGCTTGTATTGCCATCCAATGAAATAGCAAATTTCCATCCAATATCTACACTTGGAGGTTGTTGTTGTTCTATTCTTTCTTCTCTATCTCACGAGTATTTTTTTAGCACCTAGTATGCTAGGAAAATATAATAGATCATGTAAGTAATTAACTTAAATATCAGTACAATTTTAGAATTATGTAGGTCTAATGCAAATATTCACATTATGAAATTACACAAAATAAAAGTATTCATAATTATATATGTAAGTAATTAACTTAAATATCATTACAATTTTATAATTATGCGGGCCTAATGCAAATATTCATATTATTAAATTACACAAAATAATATATATATATATATATATATATATATATATATATATATATATATATATATATATATATATATATATAAGGAAGAATATCAAGCCATCACTCTTTGTATAAACATCATCCACGCACCTAACAAATAAAAATTCCCATCTCGGCAAAAGCCCATGGCCATAACTCACCACCAACCGTTAAAAAAAAACGTACAAGCTATAGAAAAAACACAAATATCTCTTCTTTTTTTTTTTTAATCAAAATTCTATTACAGCTCTTTAAATAAGAAAATTAAAAACCCTGATAATACTGCCTATGAAAAAAATAAATAGAGTCTAATGTGCTAATTTTCTTATAACACTTGTCTAATTAAATAAAATATAATAAATTCTAAAAAAAAAAAAAACTTAACAATTAAATAGAGATTACAATAAAAATAATTATACCCAAAATTTTAAAATATACTCTCCACGCCATTTCATCGTTATAAGTTACCTAATTACCTAGTAATGTTAAAGGTTTGAAAGTAGTAATTAACATGGTAGTATCCATTCTACGCTTTAATTTGGAGGCACGGCAGAGGCGTAGCGCGCGGTCGAGATACTCTCAAGAATATAATTCTTCATCCGTACTGTAGAAGTATGAGCATAGTTTCATTCCAGGCTAGGAAATAAAAAGATAACTTCCATATTGCATTTTTTATTCCGAAATGCTTTTTTTATCCATGAAGTAAATCAGTCTTGCTTTACCAACTAAACTAATCAGAAGTGATGCCTACAGTACATTTCAAATGTGGCAAATTTTTGTAAATGATAACTTGATTTTTTTTACATAAAATAAAATGATCTATACGTCACCATGCCTATGACATGTACCTTAAAATTATGGTCCCACCGTGTTCAACTCCCTTTGATTTAGGCTTTTATATAATTAATTCAAATTAATTAATACTAAGTTTCCATGGTAGGTAATTAACTTATATATATATATATATCACTTATAAAATTAATAATGATTATTTTTTCACAAATTAACATAAAAAAATAATAAAATTAGTTTAAATTGAAAATTATCTTTATAAATTCTCTACTTCTTAAGCAAATTAATAGTTGAGACTTGAGAAGTATTTAAAGGTGTGATTTGAGAATAAATGCATAAGAATGTGAAGCTGTGAATGAATAAAAGTTGTATGAGAGGTGAGTTT